AGAAGGTCCAGACGGCCGTCCGAAATTGCAAGCAAAATCCCAGACGGCCGTCCGGGAAACAGAAGGCACAATCGAGCATCACAACATGTGGGATGGCCGTCCCAAAACATGCCTAATTTGTGGGACGGCCGTCCCAAAACCAGTAAGGCCTAGCAACTTTCGGACGGCCGTCCGAAAATCAGCACAAAAACCGGGACGACCGTCCGACTATTTTTAGGGCGTTTTAACTTTAAAAAATTAGATTTTTTCCCCCATTATTTCCTAAACCCTCCTCTTTCCTTCTCTCAAACTCTCACACACAAAAGGAAGCTAGAGAATCAAAACAAATTCTCCAAAATCTACTCTTTCAAGGCACGCCCACAAGGTGTTCGATAATTTGCTCCAATCAAATTTTGAGTTCGATTGTCAACCAATTCTTACCGAATCTATTCCAACCTCTCTCCCAACTTTCTTGTCCAACAAAAGAAGCCGCACGAGTGAAGCTTCATCTTCTAAAGGCAAAGGAAAAGGCAAGAAAAGTGACACCAAAACGACGATTCCTCTTCCAAAGTCGCTCCTCAAGCCCGAGACGACCCCGAAGCCTCAAGCTCCCATGCCGATCGACGATTCCAAATGAAGATGGAGCGAGAGAGCTTTCCGATGATGAGGAGCATGAGAGAGCTAGGGAGGAGCACCCCGATCACATCGACTCCGACTAAATCAGGTGTTTTCTATCCTTAAACTTTGTGCTAATTTCGTTGAGGGCAACGAAAATTTTAAGTTTGGGGGTGAAAAACATGTTATTTTTGTGCTTATTTGTTTTAGTTTGCATGCATTAGGTTTTATTCGTTTTTATTGTTTTTCTCGTTTTTCCGAAAAAAAAAAAAAATTTGCTTGAGTCGAATGCATCTATGATTTATGATGATGAGAGATGATCAATGTTTGATGATGAAATTGCTTGTTTTATGTGATAAGGATTTGATATTTGTTTAGCTTTCGATTCAACGGGACTTAGAAGCGAATTATTGCTAGGAATCACATTTTGTGCATTGCTTTTGTTGAATGTTTTGTATTTTAAATTTGGAATTAATTTGTGCTAGATCATGCTATGTTCGGTTTTAAGACTCACCTTAGGAAATTTATGATACAAAGTATTGAGTAGTGAGTGATTTGGGATATGATTTGGGCCTTCTTTGAACCGTTTGAGCCTTTCAAGCCGACCTTTTTATCGAAATTATCCTTAGAACCTTGTTTTGAGCCTCGGAGAAAAGGTGTTCTTTCTTTTAGCCAATGTGTAAGGTAGAATAGGTGGAGATTCTTGAAAAAATTATCCCTTGGAGTTCGGTCGAAAATTTTTATAGGTCCTTCTTCTTCTTCGAAAAAAAAAAAAAAGAGATAAATATATATGCTTCTATATATATATACTAAATAAAAAAAAAAAAAAAAAAAAAAGAGAGAGAGAAGAAGAAGAGACTAGAAGGGAGAAATAATGACTAGTTGTTGAATTATTTTTGAAAACTCGATCCATTGCCTCAAAAGCAAAAGTGGAGACTTTTGAACTTTTGAAAATCGAGTTTATTAAAGTCCGTAGAGGTGAATTCATTGTTTCAAACGCCTATCTTTCAAATTTTGGCGTAATCACCTAAATTCAAGAAGAATTGCCACACATACCCATATTTCCTACCTCAAACCAAAGAGCCTAACAATTGAAAGCCACAAAGCCCCAATGATCCCAATAGCTTAATGTTCGATATTAGTAGAGTAGGGTAATTTGGTGAGTATTTGGAGTCAAACATATGCATATAAGTATAAATTCTTTCTATCTTTAATTTGCAAATATTGGATGCTTGAAGCAATTGTATGAATTGTGGTTTTTGGTAATGGTGAGTGACTAAGTGTTGTTGAATTTTGAGCTTGCGAATGCCTAAGAATTGTCATTATAATTACAAGTTCTGAAAACGTGAAGTTGATCATTGATCTATGTGATGAGATGTTATCGTTGAGTTATTTGCTTATTGGTAGATTTTGCTTGAGGACAAGCAAAAGTTCAAGTTTGGGGGTGTGTTAAGTGTATATTTTTACACTTTATCGTATCTTTTTATTTGAGCTTTTGGTGTGTTTTAACGATAATTGGTGCTTAAAAAGTTGATTTGTTGTATTTTAGGTACAAATTGAAGAATTGGAAAAGTATGGGGTCAAAACTGCAATTTTGGAGAAAATATGGGCCAAAAGTGAAAAAATCAAAATTCTGAAGATTTAAAGCTGGGACCCCCGTCCCAGTTTTAGTGCAAATCGTGGGACCCCCGTTCGAGACTCCGAAGTTGCGCAGTAAAGGGATTTTAATTGCACAAGGAAACTGCCTTCTTCCCCAAGTTCTTCACCCTATATAAAACAAATCCAAGCACACAATTGGGGATCTTTTTACGCAATTTGGAGAGCAACAAAGCAATAACGAAGACGAAGAATTCGAAGACTTCAAGCATAGATTTATCGTCTATGATTTATTTTATTTGTGTTTTTCCTTTAATCATGAGTAGCTAATTTTCTTATTTCTAGGATTTTATTTGGAACCCTTTGTGGGATTTATGAACCCTTTTCTATGATTTTATGCAAGTTTTAATTCCGGATTATTTCTTCTACTTGTTTTATTAAGTGCATGAACTTGATCAACTTATGTGCTTTTATGTTATTGTTAATCGCATGAATCGGAAGATCGGGTTAATAATTAGAACTGTGGTAGAAGAGCCTTTGTGGTATTAACATAGGAATATAGTTAATCTCTTAGGTAGTCATTATTGAGATTTGTGCTTAATGCTGTGTTCTAGAATTAATTGCATAGGGATATAGTAATTGAATCTAGAGTATTAGAATCGTAATACACGCGGAACCGGGTTATGATTATTTTAGCATCTCAGGTTAATAATCCGGGTTAATTGCTTGCATAATTGAAGGAATTGGGGGAATAATAATCACATAGGGGGAAGAATAAAATCCTAGGCTTGCTTATCTTGATTAAATCTTCGTTTTAAATTGCTTTCTTGTTTTTGCTTGTTTTTAATTTATTTTAATCTAGTTAATTCTCTCTAAAGTCGACTTTGTAGGGTGGGCTTGATAATAATTGGTAGAATTTAGCGTCTAGGATTAGATAATTAAATATTCCCTGTGGGTTCGATATCCGGACTTTTAGTCCACTATATTACTTGTACGATACGTGCACTTGCGTGTAGGTTTTCGACCAACAATCGTACGCTTTACTAATGTCTAGTTTGATAGCCATGTAATTCGTTTTACTGCTAGTTTTTGTTTTAATAAAATGATTAACCTCATAGGCAACTAAGACATTATCAGTAATTAGACGGTTTGGGATGAAGCCGACTGCGTAGGGGAAATGATATCATTCAAGACTCTTTTGAGACAATTAACAATGACTTTGGAACCTAACTTGTAAACTACAATACACATACTTATGGGTCGATAGTCCGTGATTTTCTCAGGGAGCTTAACCTTAGGAATGAGGACAATAAAGGTAAAATTAAGCTGGGCGGGAAGCTTTTTGTTATTAAGAAAATCAGGTACACAGGATATAACATTAGCACCTAAAATGTGCCAATACTTTGTGAAAAAAAAGACAGGAAAACCATCGGGGCCAGGAGATTTGAGTGGAGCCATATGGGATAGATCAAAAGTTACCTCATCGGCTGAAAACAAAGAGGAGAGCATCTGGTTAGCTTCGCTCATCACCCTTGGATCTAACTTCTCCAAAACCTCATCTATCTCGTTTACATTGGGATGAGTATTACGAAAGATATGGTCAAAATATTCACCAATACTCGGCTCAATCTCCTTGTCCTTATCTTTCCAATTTCCAGACCGGTCTTTCAATTTTTCCACTCGATTAATTCGATTTCGAGCCGTGGCCTTGGCGTGAAAAAAAACTGGTATTTCTATCTCCCTCTTTCATCCATTGCACTTTGCTACGTTGTCGCCAGTAAATGTCATTGTCCACGTACAACTTCTCGAGATTAGCCTATATTTGTCGAGATTTTTCTCTAACCGAAGTTGTTTGCTCGCCTCATTCAGCAAGTGTAGTTTTTTCTGGAAATCGAGAATTTGGTTTGTGGAGACTGAGTAGACCGGTTCCATTGCATCAGGCCTACACTACAATCTTTACTTTTGTTCAGCACATCCGTAATTGGATCAACCCCACGTTGATTTTCTCACGCATTACGAATGATCTCTTCGCATTCCTCTTTCCGGACCCACATGGCTTCAAAACGGAACGGTCGTTTCCTGATGCTCAGGCTAGAATTTTGAAAACTACTCGTAGTCAGTAGAATGGGCGAATGGTCGGATCCTGGGTATTCCAAATGTTGAACTCGGGCTTGAGGAAATAAATAAATCCACTCACTGTTAGCGCAAAAACGGTCGAGGCGACAACGAATTGTCTTGGGGCTTTCTCTTTTATTCGACCACGTAAAAGGGAAGCCTTCAAAACCTAGATCTGAAAGATTACACTCATCGAGAGCTTCCCGAAATTCTTCAATATAATGTGGAGGTTTTGAGTTTCCTCCGTGTTTTTCCGTGTTTTTCCGTGTTATCCAAAATCTCATTGAAGTCTCCTCCGATAAGCCATGGTCTACTCCGCTGATTGCTCAAAGTATGAATTAAGTCCCAAGAAAGAGCTCATCGATCGAGTTCAGGGAAGCCGTAAAAAACTGTACATCGCCATCTCATGTTCGAACTTTTGCAAAAAACCTCGACGTCAATGTGGTTAGGTGAAAGGCTCACGAGATCAACCTCAATATGTTTTTTTCCAAAGCAGGGCCACACCCCCCGATTTTCCTATCTTCTCCACAGCAACACCAAAATAATTCCTCTTATTCTTTAAATGATCAATAAACTGTTGTGTTGCTTTCGTCTCCGAAAGAAACACCAAACTGGGGTTAAACCGTCAGAGCATCTCTCCGATACCATGAACTGTCAAGAGACCCCCAACCCTTGACAATTCCAAAAGAGGCTACTCATTGGTCTCTCACTGAGATGGTAACCCCTTCTTCTTCGTCAGCCGTTAAGGTGAGTTTTTGTACCATATTTTCCATAGTTCCGTCCATGGATGAGAATAACAGGATAGGTGAGGCGAGGCGTAGAGGAAACGGGGTGGTAGCGATGCCTTCACAGATGCAGAACTGAAAAAAAAGATGAAGAAAAAAAAAGATCAAGAAGAAAAAAGATAAATCAGCAACCCTACTGGCCGCCGACACAAGACCCTAGCCAACGATATAGAATGAGCAGGAATAATATATGGGTTCAAACAAACAACCCTAGAAGATAACCACTACAAAACCCTAGTCAATGAAACTTAATAGATAAATAAACCAAACAAAGCTAAAACGCACGATCGGATCCGTAGAAGAATTAGAGAAAATAAGAAACATAGAATCAAAAGGAATTAATTAGATGAAGAAACAGCCTCTCATGATGAGAGAATAGAATTTTTTATTCAATATATATACATTTCACCATTAATTATTATACTACGCTCATTAACTAATATACTTTTATATATATATATATATATATATATATATATATATATATATATATATATATATATATATATATATATATATATATATATATATATATATATATATATATATATATATAATGTAAGATTTTTTTGAGAATTTGTTGTCTTTTTTTTTTTCTAGTTTGTTTCCGTTATTTGTGTGATTTGATTTTCTTACTAATATATAAATCTTTTGAATTTTTATTTTTTTCCATAAAACATGATTCATGCTCAAACTATTTAAACCCCTCCACATTGATTTTCACTTTTCAATACTACCGTTACATTAAAAAGTGTACAATTTTCGTATTATATGGATTTATGTTACATTTTTTTTTCATTTTTCCTTTGTTATTGATTATCATAATTATATATACATTTATATTCAGAATTATTTTTATGTTCACATACGAGTACTATTTTAATTTCTTTCTTTCGGGTTGTTAAATTTAATATACTTTGTTAATGTTTTTCATATATCTTTTTCTATTTTTTGTTTATTTTTTATTTACAAGGACCAAAACCAGGGCCGGTCCTAGAGTCCGAGAGGCCCAAGGCGGAGAAGGGGAAAGACGAAAAATGAGGCCCCCATTAACGATGATTATGTTAAAAAAAACAAAACATAACAAAATAACAACATAAAAAAAATACATAATATAGTTAAATCCACAATTCATAAATATTCAATACAAAAATACATTTAACAATCATTAAAATTTTATCTTTCTTGCCTTCTTAGCTGCAAAATTATCGATCAGGCTCGTAAAATCAAGCTTCCCTGTAATATGTTTTTCAATGGATAAAATAGCTAATCCATTCAGTCTTTCTTGGGACATAGCTGACCGAAGGTAAGATTTAAGCAACTTCAACTTTGAGAAACTTCTCTCTGCAGAGGCAACTGTAACATGTACAATGATGAGTATTCTATAAGCAATCCATGTATTCGGGAAACAAGTGTTCATTTCTTTCAAATAATTCAATACTCCAATTGCCTTTTCAATCTCTTTTGGCAAAAGTTCTCTTAACATTCTCAATTCCGAAAAGAGATCTCGCCCATTAACATCAGAACATGTACCACATTTTAAATGTTCTTCAAGTTTCATACAACTACTCTCCAAGCTTTCATCATCGACAAGTTTCCATTTTTTTATATTCCACAGAAAACCAAACATGTTTTCAAACTTTTGAAAATCTTCAAATCTTACCCTTAATGAAGTAAGAGCTTGATCAATCACAAAGAAGACAAAGTTTATTCGAAAGGATTCTTCGGATGTTAGGATAACATCTTCATTGTTGTTCTCATCAAAGTGTTTTTTTCGACGGGTAACTCGTTTCTCTCGAAATATTGGTTGAATACCCATTTTTTTTGCTATAACTTCAGCTTCATTCCTGGCCTTCTCATATCCGGTTTCTCTATATTTTTCGAAGAGAATAATGAGTCCTTTCAACTGTTCCAAAGCAACATCCATATGCATTTCTTCATTTTGAAGAGTCTTGCTAACAATATTCACAAATGATAATAAGTCATACCAAATAACCAAAGTTAATAAGAACTCAAAATTCTCAAGCTCGTTTGTTACGAAACCAAGAGCCTCACTGGTTGCTGCCCCATCTTCATTGCTATTAGCCAAATCCAATAAAGCATTCCTTATTTCTTCGATTTGAAGAAGTAATGGTTTTACGCTTTCAAGGCGACTTTCCCATCGTGTTTGTGACAATGGCTTAAGTGTTTAGGCCACTCACATTATCTTTTAAGATGCTCCATCGTTTTGTTGAAGCTGAAAACAAACAATATATACGCTGAATAATGCCAAAAAAAATTTACCTTGTGAACAACAACCAGCCATATCACTAAGTGCAAGATTGAGACTGTGGCAGCCGCATGGTACATAGAATGCTCTTGGATTTCGATCCAATAATCTTTTTTGCACACCTTTATGTCTTCCTTTCATATTAGAACCGTTCTCGTATCCCTGGCCTCTTATATCTTTAATATCAAGTTTAAGATTTTTTAACGCCTCTTCAAGTTCGCTGAAAAGTCCAAGTCCTGTGGTATCATCTACTTTGAGAAAGCCCAAGAAGTACTCCTCCACTTTCACTGGACTTACCGTAACATCTACACATTGAATCACAAGAGTCATTTGTTCTTCATGACTAGAATCTGGAGTACAATCAAGTATAACTGAGAAATACTTTGCTTTTTTTATTTTCTCCACTATCGTGCACTTGACCTCGCTTGCCAATAATTGGATCAATTCATTTTCAATTTTGGGACCAAGATAATGAGTGTGAATCTCACTCATTTGGATTCGCCTGACATGCTCCTGCATTATAGGATCAAATATTGCCATCATCTCAATGAATTTCAAAAAGTTTCCATTGCCATCTTCGAAAAGTGTCTCATTACTACCACGCAATGCCAAGTTTTGTTGTGAAAGAGTTTTAACAAGAGCAATTATCCTTAATAGGACTTGTCGCTAATAGTCCTTCTCTCTATTCATCTTTTCTTGCAAAGATTTATCAATTGTTTCTCTTTTACGCATTCTCGTCTCGGTTTGAATCCACCGACTCATGCAAATAATATGATCGTTACTGCATTCATGACCCTTTAGCCTGCTTGAAATATTTTTCCAAGCATTAAAACCTTCCGTGGCCAATTGCACTTTAACTCCATCTTGCTTGAACAATTTACAACAAAAGCAAAATATCTTATCTCCAAGTTTTGAGTAGACTAACCATTTCCTCTCTTGTTTTTCTCCATTTGTTAGTTGTTGCGTATAATGCACAGAAGAGAAATGTCTACCTTGATCATCAAGAGGGTACTCAAAGTTGATATCCGCAGCTCGTATAGGACCTCTTTCTTCTATCAAGTCCTTCATTTTCTGATCTAGCTTAATCCAATTTACCGGGTCGTCTATGTTCAACTGTTCCGTATCTTCTTTTGCTTCTTCAAATGGTAGCCCACTAGCGTCTCCAATTTCGATATTATCTGTTTGGATCTTTTGTTCATTATCGACAACAACATGAATGCATTCTTCATTGTCAACCTCATTCTCGTGTACTTCTTCCAAATTAACTTCATCTTCAGCCACAACTTCATCTTCAACTACAACTTCATCTTGAACTCGGTTTATATGCGGAAAAAATTTAAAAATATCATCCTTTTGCGAGTTTGTACACTCTTCTATTCTTTGTTTTTTCTTTCTTTTCGCATCCCCGCACTCAAATTTTCTAGGACCCATAGCACTACAAAAAATATAAAAAAAATACAAGAACCTAATTATTAAACTCAAAATACAAACTCATTGATTATCAATAGAAAAAGAAAAAATAAATTAGGACAAGTGGACAACAAATTGATAGAAGAAATATTATGAGAGTGGAGGCACAAACCTATTTTTTATTCTTTTGTCTCTCGATCTCTCTGTTGTATTCTTCAATCTTCCTCTATTTTTTATTTTTTTGTTGGGGTTGAAACCCTTGTTTCTTTCTTCTGAGACAGTGAGTTGGTGTGCGTGCGTGTGTGTTGTTGCTCTGTATTATTCTTTGATTCCCTTTTGTTGTTTCTTTTTTTTTTTTTTAATTAAGACTTTATGAATGTTAAAGTCAAAAAAAAAAGCTGCAAGACTTTATCAATGTTAAAGTAAAAAAAAAAAGCTGCGGGTTCTTTTTAGTTGGGCCAGAACAAGAAAGGGCTCTTTTTAGTTGGGCCAGAACAAGAAAACAAAAAGAAAAAAAACTGTGCTCTTTTTAGTTGGGCCAGAACAAGAAAAAAAAAAAGAAAAAAAACTGTAAAAATAATCAAGGTCCACAGGAATTCAAACTTGTGACATATAGAGTCCATAGAGCGTTCTTTTCCAATAATGCTACATATTTATTTGTAAATTATAAGTAAATAAACATATATAATGATTTTTTCCAAATTTGGAGGCCCTAAAAATTTAAAATTTTCAGAGGCCCAAGGCGGTTGCCTTGCCCGCCTTGGGCTTGGGCCGGCCCTGACCAAAACTAAAGTACAATCATCTTTCTACCGCCGGTGGCATAAAGGGCATCATTCTACAAGAATGATGTTATTCGAGGAGCAAATGTAACAATTAAATTATTATTTTTTAATTATATGTTCTTATATTTGTCTATAACAAGTGTATTAAATTTGTTTTTAATACATTTTTTTTTGCAGATTTAGTGTTATTTTTTTTCACCCGTGGTAGAACATCTCAACTACCTTACAGTGACTCTACAAAGGCTATGTACAAGAAAACGAACTGAAGAATTTTATTTAAGAAAACAACTTGAAAGTGTATTTATATGTATTTGTATGAATATATAGAAATGCATTTGATTACTCTTTTAATTGATGTATTTCTTATATGAATTGATTACTTTTATTTCTTTTATTCTATTTGTCTCCAACGGTTTCTATTTTTTTTTCCCATTAATTTCCTTCTTAATAAGGAAATCAATTATTTTTTTTTATAAAAAAAGAATTTATTTTAATCCTTAAATAGCTGAATCATTTTATTTTTTTATAGAATAGTCAAATTATTTTCGCCGGTTATTCAGATCCGTTTTTTTTTTTGGAACAATATTGAAATATATATGGGATTCCGATTTACGATACAAATTTTAATGTCCGAGACTAATTCCAAATTTCTGATTTTTTCCCCGAATATCACTCTTATATCACAATTATTATACATTTTATATTTGAATTGCCAAAAAAAATAAAATTTTCCGATTCGTGTTTATTCATATGTTTGAACTAACTCCGTTCTTATTTCGATCCGATCCGTCAGATTTCCACCCTTCTGTTTGAACTTACTTCCATCACTCTTTTATGTTGATTATATCAATTTTATATAGTACTGTAGATATATTCTATTTATTAATATTAAAAATAAAAATTATATATTGAAGTGTTTCTAAATATATATTTTTATTCAATAAGAAGAATTGCATTACATAGTAACTCCTTTTTAACTTTTTATGTATTGACACTTACAACGTTGTATGAGAATCCGTAATTTAGAAAGTATGTTCATTTGACTTTTGAATAGATTGGTTGTTAGATATCGAAACATCGATTTCTTTTAAAAGAAATAAAAAAATGATTTGACAATTAGCGTCTTTATAAAAGTGCAGCTAAAAATATGAAATTCATCACATTAATTATTTTAAAAATTAATTTGTGGTGGCATTGTTAATGACTTATTGTATTTCAATAGTGCAAAGTGCTATTAATCTTTTTTCAAATGTGTAAAGTGTCAAAATACTACATTTAAGGGGTGGAAAGTCGAATTAATTCATATGAATATATATTGAATATATATATATATATATACACGATGATTATTTGGTAAGTTTTGCGATATTTAAATGGAATAAATTCTTATTTTATATAATTATTGTTTAAATACGTAAATAATTTATAATAGACTACATCATTACTGTTACTATTACTATTATCATTACTATTACTAATACTAATGCTAATACTAAGACTAACACTTTTACTATTACTATTAAATTACTATTACTATTACTATTACTATTACTATTTGTATTAGCACATTAGTATTAGTATTAGTATTAGTATTAGTATTAGCATGAACATATTAGTATTACTCTTAGGATATGATTAGAATTAGTATTAGGATTATGATTAATATTAATATTAAGATTTAGAGTTAGATTAGAATTATGATTATGATTGGTATTAATGTCAGTATTATTATTATTATGGTTAGAATTAGTATTAGGATTACGATTAATATTAATATTAAGATTTATGATCATGATTAATATTAGTATCAGTATTATTATTAATGTTAATAATATTATTATTGCGATTAGAATTAATATTAGCATTAGAATTAGGAGTATGATTAAGATTAGGGTTATGACTAAGATTATAATTAATATTAATATTAGTAATAGTATTTATATTAGGATTACTATCAGTATTAGAATAAAGATTAGTATTGTGATTGCAATTAATATTAGGATTAGAATTAATACTAACATTAATATTATGATTAAGATTATAGTTAAGATTAGAAACATAATTAGGATTAAGATACTTATTAGTATTAGTATTAGAATTATGATTATGAATAGAATTAGTATTACGATCAAGATTATGATTATAATTAATATTAATATTAGTAATAGTATGAGTAATAGTCATCGTAAGTAATAATGTTGGTATTAGTATATCAGTATTACTATAGGGCATCTCTCGGTGGGGGTCTTACAAGGGATGGGATGGGTTGTACCGATTTGTACAACTTTTGGTTTGGTTGATATTACCATCTGACAGTTGGGCCCAGCGATTTAATCCCCCAATCGAATTATTGTTAGTCAAGCCAAAGTTGGCTTGACTAATTATCACATACTCAATCACATACTGTAACTCATGTGAAATATTGAAAATATCCTTCGAAAATACCACAATTACGAAATTAATAAGTATAAATACTGAATAACCTTCATCTTCCCCTTTCATATCTCGTGCCCTAGTTTTTTTTCAGGTAAAAATCATACCTTTCAATTTCGTTCCAATCTTCCATTTTTTTCTTCCTTCTGGTGCTAGACTCTGAATAAATATTTTATTCTCACATATTCTAGATTATCGGAATAGTCGCCGGCGTTGGAACTGCAATGGAAGGTTGACCAAACGGGTTCTGCTAACTGCTAATGGTAGAAGGTACATCTCTATTTTTACAACGTTTTTCGGTGTTTATATGGTTTAATCAATATGTATAATTTGATTGACTGGTGTAGGGTTTCGGTTTTGGGAACAAGGGAGGCACCTATTTTGAAGAACATTAAAAATCGAGGTAAATTTCAGCACTTCACACTTTTCTCCTTGTAGTGTTTATATTAATTGATTCCTTCGATTTCATTCATAAAAGAACAGTTTTTTGGTTGACAAACACCATCTCAGTTGCTTTTAGGTAATCTCCTGCAAGCTATTTTCGCCCACTTTTACACTGTTAATATCTACATGTATGCGCTTCTGTATAAGGGTTTTGAAACAAATTAATTTCATGTGTTTTATGGATTCTTTGTGTATATGCTTATGCAAGCATCAGAAATTTGGGTTGATATATTGTGGCTTTGGTATTTTAAGAAAACCTAAATGCATAGTCTGCTTGATTTTCCTTTTATATTGCACTTAATTATGATTTATGTTACGAAGATGAAGTGATGAACAACATATTTTCTGCAAATATGAACAAAGTGTAATGTCTGTTGTGTTACAGTAAGTTTAGAGTCTGAAGTCAAAATTCGAAGGTCTTTTATAGTTTTCAAGATTACAATTGATTGATTATGGGTTTCATTTTGCTTAACAAATTGATTTGTCCTACAAATTAGTTTGTTCACCATCGCTCAGCTTCGTAAAAGATGGCTGAAAAACAGACTTTGTCTGCCATTCTCAAGATCTCAAGGTAACCTAACACTCTTGATATCTTGTTTTATCTCTTGTTTTAATTTAATTGTCCCTTTTTTGGTTTTAATTTAATGTTGATAGTCCTGTGTAAATTTCTGCTTATTTCAAGACTGAACGAACAGTGAATGCTGCACTATGAAAGTAATGGTTTGTTACATCTCTGTCCGAATTCGGGTTTTTATTTTTGAATTCAATCTGAGGATTTTAATTTTATTTTTTTATTATTATATTGTGGTAATTTTTTTTGCTTTGCACAGCCTGTATTATGAACAATGAGAATTTTACATACAGTTTCTAGTGTATATGAACTGGTAGTTACTCGACATGTAGACTTGCTATGAATCTTCCTTTAAAAATAGTTTAATTTAATAGTTTTGAGGATTACAATTGAATATGGGTTAAATTTAAAATCTATACCCAAATCGAGAAATAGTGAACAAACTAGTAATCAAGAAACAAGAACAAGAATGAAATTATTTGGGGTCGCGATGTATACGCGCTGCGCAGGAAAGGAAACGGCGACCTGGGTTGGCAGAAGTTCAAAAGTTTGTAAGTGTAGCTGATTGCCGCAGTCATAGACATCGCATTGCATCCCATGTGAACCGAATTCTTCAGCGGCTTTGTTACTCGAATTCTTTCGAAAGTTAACGTTGTTGTAGCTCATTACGAGATATGAACATATATCCGTTCACACTAATCTAGTTTTAGGGGAAAAAAACAAATTATAGGAGAATTTAGGTTTTTTTCCGTAGAAAATTATACCCAGATAATGAAGAAAAGAGAGAAGTATTGGTCAATAAGGAGAGAGAATTGATTAAGTAAAAAAGGTATTATAAGGGCAAACCTGTAATTTACCTCAAAAACCATATAACACAGTGTTATCACCCAAACAAAACATGATATTGTTAGTGCAGGTATTATTAGTTGCTTCCCCATAACTCCAACAAAATAATGGATTGACAATTTAGTCCCAGAATACCATATCCCATCCATAGCTATCTATCCAAACTACCCAGCCAAAGATGCCCTTAGTATTATATGTATGCGTATGAGTATGAGTATGAGTATGAGCATTTGTATTAATATTAGTTTTAGTATTGGTATTAGTATTAGTATT